GTAAAACAGTATTGATAAACCTTCCATCTATAGGGATTTTCAATACTAAGTACTGCATATAGAGCTTCCAGTGTCAGATCTGGGCCATTGAGCAAACAATGAATTGCTGTAGATCATGTATTGTACCTGGATAAGTGTGTACAGTGCAGTGGTGGAGTATAGGAAGAATTGCAGTATTAATTAGTCATCGATCTAGAAAGGTTATCAATACTATACAGCTTCCAAAGTCAGATCTGGTTCATTGAACTGAAAATGAATAGCTGTAGATTGTGTATTGTACTTGGAGAAGTGGGGTATAGAAAGTATTACAGTAGTGATTAGTCATCAATCTAGAAGGCATATCGATAATACACACTGAATATGGAGCATCCATTGTCATGTATGGGCCATTGAACTAAAAATGGCTTGTTTTGAATTGGTGCACTGTTCTTAGAGATGTAAGTACAGTAAGTTGCAGTATTGATTATTTCTCAATCTAGAAGGTATATCAATACTGTATACAAAATGTGGAGTGTCTAATGTCACATCTGGTCTATAGAACAGAGACTGTATTACTATAGGTTGTGCATTGTTCTTATAGATGTGTGTGCAGTACAGTGGTGGGGTATAGTCAGTATCAATATATTAATTAGTCTTTGATCTAAAAGCTTATCAATACTAAATATTGAATATAGAGCATCTAATGTCATATCTGGGCTATAAAATAGAAAATACATTGCTGTAGATTGTGCATTATTCGTAGAGATGTGTGTGTAAATGTAATGTAGAGGATAGTAAGTATTGATTAGTCTTTGATCTAGAAAGTTTATCAATACTAAACAGTGAATACAGAGTATCTGATGTCATATCTAGCCCACTGAACTGAAAATGAATGGCTGTAGGTGGTGCTTTGCATTCTATGAACATGTGCCAGTGTAGCGGCTGCACTGCTGTAACGTGTCATTGTTGGCTTGGCTACTTCTCTGCAGGAGAGGAGGATGATTTGTCTTCTGACACAGCTCTCTTTTCTCTCATTGTTTTACCTGTAGAGAAACCTGATTTAAAAGTCATAACCACGGTATGTGGTTGTGCTATTTTGCAGGCTGTTGCATGCTTCTTCACCTAGTAGTATCTCACACATATCTGTGCTTTCATTTTGGCTCCTAGTATAGTTGCTGTATTGCTGGGAAGTGGAATATCAGTTATCTGTCTGCTGCATGCATGTATTTGTATAATGATAGGATAGTTGATGGCTTTAGGGACAATTCAAACTTGGTCTAATTGGTCTTGAAGAAGAGCGGAGTGCCCTATGCCCCTGGTGGGGATGGAGTTATTGTAGACTTGAACCTGCCCCTGCCCCTGCTGTGTTTTGTATGTGCAATAAAACTTGTTTTGCCACTTGCTTATTGATGGTTTCCACATAACTCATATTAGAGCCTAGCTTACAATATGTGATTGTTGAGTCAATGTATTTGCTTTTTATATGTGAACAGTGCAAGTCAGTCTATATAATTTAATCGATTCATTGGACATCATCTAACATAGTAGGGGTTAATTACTCATGGACTGTCATGGTCAAGTCAGATATAATCAGATATTAGAATCCTGGTTTCTGATGTGTGATTTATTGAGTCTAATTTATCACACATTGTGCGTAGGCTCAATAAGTGATTATTGAGTCTATGGTTATTTATCATACTAGCTTACACTGTGTGATTATTAGGTTTCAGTATTTATGTTCTCTGTGAATAGGAACAGTGCAAGTCCTCACATTTAGATTAGTAAATGCTTCAGATTAATAATCTAACATAGCAGGGGTTACCTATACATTGGATTATTTGGTGGGCTCATTAGATATTAGATCCTGGTTTACTATGTGTGATTATTGAGTCTATGGTTATGGTTATTGGGCTAGATATCACACATTAGAGTCTATGGGTGGGCTCAGATATTAGATTCTGGTTTACAATATGTGATTATTGAGTCTATGGTTATTTACTCATACATACATTAGAGTGGTGATTATTGGCTCAGATATTGAATCCTGGTTTACTATGTGTGATTATTGAGTCTATGGTTATTTACTCATACATTAGAGTGGTGGGCTCAGATATTAGATTCTGGTTTACAATATGTGATTATTGAGTCTATGGTTATTTACTCATACATTAGTGGTGGGCTCAGATATTAGGTTTCCTGGTTATTTACAATTATGTGGGATTATTGAGTCATTAGTGGAGGGCTCAGGATCCTGGTTTACAATATGTGATTATTAGTCTATGGTTATTTACTCATACATTAGTGGTGGGCTCAGATATTGAATCCTGGTTTACTATGTGTGATTATTGAGTCTATGGTTATTTACTTACACATTAGAGTGGTGGGCTCAGATATTAGATCCTGGTTTACTATGTGTGATTATTGAGTCTATGGTTATTTACTTACACATTAGAGTGGTGGGCTCAGATATTAGATCCTGGTTTACTATGCGCGATTATTGAGTCTATGGTTATTTACTCATACATTAGAGTGGTGGGCTCAGATATTAGATCCATTTTTACTATGTGTGATTAGTTAGTCTATGGTTATTTACTCATACATTAGAGTGGTGGATTCTCTCTTCTTAGCCTATTTGTAAAAGCAGCAAAACAGCCCCCACCCATCTGCCCACCTATCTTCCCTTTCACCTCTTAGACCATTGCATAACTGAGTTCCTTCCAAACGTATAACTTACTGCTTACCTTACTCTAACCACAGTCTGATGAAACCAAATATTTAACCCGCTCTTACATTGGCCGTACTGTATGAACTGTGTTAAAACAAAGAGAAATAATGTATCTGCTTTCAACTGTCTTTGGGTTGTATCCTTTTAGCTCTGTATCTAAATTCTGTAGATACTTGCACTATCACACAGATGATCTCTCTTTCACAGAGTAGTTTCATTTGACATCATCTCTTTCCATAGAGAGACATCTGCTATAACACTCTGCACTTTTAACCAAGAAGGGTATCTTTGAAACACTTAAATTAGTTTCCTGTCAGAAAATATGCCCTCCTTTATTAATGAAACGTGTATCAGTACCCAAGTACAGGATGCGCGCAGCCAGAATTTTTGATCCGCTCTTAGGCGCTGCTTTTCACGCTTTAGCTTTTTTTGACAGGTGGCTTAAAATTGCATAAGACCATCAACATTTTTCCTTTCACTTACATATTGCTAAGGGGGAAACCCCTCAGTCATAAATTAGGCTGACCTAGTAATTTGAAAAGAGCATGTGCTATTTTGGAAGGGGTCTCAAGTAGAATATGCAAGAGTAAAAAAAAAAGGACATCACTGCAAAAGTAAAGCTGTCTTCTTTTTGACTTTCAACTGGTATGCTTTGCAGCACTCCTGTAAAAACTGCCTTTGTCTTCTGGCCCATCAACTGCTGGTGTGTTGGCAATTGTGTTTGTTTACAAAACAACGTGATAGCAGTGGCTTTTGCCAAATACATATTTCGAAAAGGGAGCTTGTAGATCTGTATGACTTGAGTCACTTTAATGTATCTTTTACATGTTTGATCTGGCCATTGAAGGGTTATGTCTTTAGACTTTTTTACCAAACCAGTGCAAACATTAGCAATTGAAAGCTTTTTTTTAAAAAAGGTGATTCTTTTAGGTAAGCTGAGAGGTTTGTGCATTCATGGGAGTGTTTATTAGTCATACATGAGTTAGCTGTGGTCCACACTGGTGCGACATGCGATTTACAAATCACACCTGAAGTCGCATCTAAGGTATTTCTATGGCATTGTCTTAATCAGTGTGATCTGAAGTAGTGCGATTTTAAAAATAGTTTCTGCACTAATTATTTCCAATTTCATTGCAACTTGCATTGACTTCTGTTAAATGAAGTTGCAAGCCACAGTGGAATTGAAGGTACAAATCCCACTGATCTGCAGCTTTCAAATCGCACTACTTCAACTGAAGTAGCGCAATTTCAAAGTCACATTCAGTGTGAACCAGGGCTAAATGTTAGATAAATAGCAATTTTATCACATATGTTTGTATACGTATGGTGGGTCCAGTTGTTGCTGTGGTTTGAACAAGTCTGAGGCTCCATACACATTGGCTTAAAAAACCGCCAGTGCTCCTGGTGAATAAAAATGCTAGTTTTGAGCATTTTTTGTCCTAGTTTTTGGAGCGTTTAGCATTTTTTTTCTGCTGATAAATGCTCTCAAAAGCACAAAAGAGAAAGGTTTTTTTTTCTGCCTCTAAACGCCGAACTTAAAAAATTGCTCTAGACTACCTAATGTGCATTGACACATAGGATAACATTAGTTGCTTCTAAAGGCAACACTCCTAAGAGCAGCGTGTTTTTTTAAGACAGTGTGCATGGAGTCTGAAACATTTTCTACTGCCTTCAGTGGAAGAACTATCTGTCCATTTCCATTTTTCATGGAATAGTTAGCAAAGTTTAAACTATTGTAAAGTTGTCCTAAGTATAGATAAATCCTACATTAAAGGTCAGATTGTAAGCTCCTTCCTTCACTCACAAGAAGGCGAAGACAAACGTTTGGGTTGTCTCCAAAGAGTCACAAATGCTGGAGTATTTCATAAAGCAGATAAAGAATCTCAAGGCTGCTTGTGTAAATGACACACAATATCAGGCTCTTTTTACTATCCTTAGACATTCAGGCTTATTTTGACTTTATTGGTGGAAAGGTTGCCAAATGTGCAATTTGCCACTCATCTGACAGCAGAAGCAGGTCTGAACATGTAGAGCACTGAGCAGTCTGCCAGGACCTTTCTCTTGTATCTGTGGATACCAAAAACAGTAGAACCTGTTCACAATGTCAGACCAGCAAAGTAGCGTGCAAAATCTTGTTGTGCAAGATTTCCAGATTTTCAGGTGAAACCCTTGCTTTTTTCAAAATTGATTTTGTAACAGGGAAATGGTGAGTGAAGTTAAAATATGACTTTGTGATGTGATGCCTGTGTCTGCCTGCAGCTTATACAGCTCGGAGGAAGATGATGACGACATAGAAATGTACGAACACGATTATGATGGCATGCTTTCCAAAGGAAAACGACACTTGGGAAAAACACGATGGACACGCGAGGAGGTAACATGTTGCTTTATGGTTGATGATCACTGGTATAGATTTATTGTTTGTTCTGGGATTTGTTTTATATACTATGCTTCAGGGATTCTAACCTCATTGACTTAGGCATCCAAGTTCCAGGTTTGTTATAGACTGGTTGCTTAGAGAGTGACAGGGAGTGACCTGTTATTATTTTTTATGTTAACTGGCAGCTAGTCTTCTGAGCTGTTTGCTTACTGATGTAATGTCATGTTTAATCATACAAAAGTGAAGAGCAGTCTTTGTTTATACCAGCTATAATACATTCAGATATTATGCACTGCCTTAATGGCTTGCACACTATGCACTTAGGTCTTGAAAAGCTTTTCATATAAGTCACTGTGATATGTCTCATAGCTATGGAACAATGAATAATTCAGACCAGATATAGGGAGGAGCCTAGATACCGCTAGATTTCTGGCTACCTGACCAAAAATATTTTACTATAATAGTTGGATAATTATAGAAAAATAAAAACTTCTTAAGGCACACTGCCTTGGTGAGTAAACATTAGATAGCACAATAGTTTTTCGTTCCCATAGATTACGTCTCAGAGTTCTGCATCCCTACCATGACACATGTTGTGCCTTTTCCAAATGCCCCCCTTCTTTTACAGTCATGCCTTTTATAGCACTGAGTTTTCACTCGGTTAGTAAATCGAGATTGATGATGTGAATTCCAATGATCCTTTTTATTTTTGTTTCACTTGGGATGTAACCTGCTTTGTTGCACAAGCTATTTGATGCTGTTATCTCTTTGTATTTTTCTGTGCATTTATAAATAAGAAAGTTAAAAAAAAAAATAGTTGGATAATAATTAAAGCAAATTTTTTCGCATTGTTACAGGATGAGAAGCTGAAGAAATTAGTAGAACAGAATGGCACAGAAGATTGGAAGGTTATTGCTAGCTTCCTCCCAGTAAGTTTGCCAATAAGTACAAGGAAGACTGATCGATATACAGTACAAACTTCATTTATACACAAAACGTCTTGGTATAACAATAGAATGACTCTGATCTCTGTTTATTTCTATCACCAAAGAACCGGACAGATGTTCAGTGTCAGCATCGGTGGCAGAAAGTTTTAAACCCTGAACTTATTAAGGGACCATGGACCAAAGAAGAAGACCAGCGGGTAAGCCATCTACAATTTTTCTGTTCACTGATTATACAATGATTTTGTTCTCTGTGTGTGTTGAAAGAAAGCCCAGGTATAGCCCAAACCTTTCTCTTAGATTTAAATAAAGTTGGGAAGTGCTAGAAAGGAAGGGAAAGATAGGCACCAAAGTGATAGTGTAGCTCAGTGTATTAAGAAGAACATCAATGTACAATTAAAATGCACTCACAAAAGTTCAAGGTGACCAGCGTATAAAGACTTGAGGTGGGACCAGCATGAGAGAGTCCTATCCACATGGATACGGCTAGATGTCAGAGCCTTTGCAGGAAGCGGTGCAGGAATCCAGACCGGACACTGGGGAACTTCCAAGAGGAGAGAGCTGTCAGAAGCTGTCAAACGACCTGTCAGACCCTGGGACTCTGTAGCCAATAGAGAGCTAAACCACGCCTCCATCCTCAACCTAACTACTTAGTTAACCTCCAGGAATTAAATAATGGCCGTGATTGACCCTGTATTGTCCAGTTCATTACTACGACCAATAGTGCTGGAACCTCTCCTCTTTAAGTATTCATTGCTGACAGTGTTCCCATTTGGGAGATTTCCCAACTCTTCTGTCCAGTAGACCACACATGATTAAAATTAGGACAAAACTCCCCTGTGGGGTTACAGGTAGCAATAAAAACAAACAATTTAACTCTTCCCTAATTTTTCAAAACAAACTATTTTTTTTTTTTTACTTGGCCTGCCTTTATAGTTATACTTCAGTCAAAATTTAACATTAAATTTTAATATGCGTACATGAAGCACAGCCTGCCTGCTTAGTACAGTTTTTCATCCTGCCAATGCTGTAATATATCAGTCCATCCTAGTCCCTTCTGTCAGTCAGTCCACCTTAGTCCCTTCTGTTAGTAATGTCTGAGGAACGCTGCTTTTCAAGCAGGAGAACTATACCCAAACACGCACTGCAGATTTCTTGCAGATGTAAAACAAATTACAGTATAACTCTGAGAGAGAGACTTATCAAGAAATAAACTTCCAAGTGACCTAGTGAGTTGCTCTCTAGATTTTAGATGTAATGACTTAAAGAAAGTCCAGTTTAAAGTAAACTTGGTGGACTTAATGACATAGTTTCAGGGTTTGCTGGATAGCATTATTTGCTATGATTGGTTTCTCTTATTGACTGAAAATTCTCTTTAAATATAATAAAAAAAAGGGTTTTCAGGAAAGGTGTTTGCATGAATTAAAAACTAAAGCATATACATTCACCAGTCCCATTTTGATCACTGCTAAATACTGTATGTCACATTTTTAGTTTTGTTATTTAACAGTGTTACCAATTATTATATTTCTTAAGGTGATAGAACTAGTACAGAAATATGGCCCCAAGCGGTGGTCTGTCATTGCCAAGCACTTGAAGGGGAGAATTGGCAAGCAATGTAGAGAGAGATGGCACAATCATCTTAATCCAGAAGTGAAGAAGACCTCCTGGACAGAGCAAGAGGACAGAATCATATATGACGCACACAAACGCCTAGGAAATAGATGGGCAGAAATTGCCAAACTTCTTCCTGGGAGGTAATAGCCCAGCCATCACCATAAACATTGTTCTGATTAACTGTGGATTCAAATAGTATTGCTGGCTGTTTTCCCCTGTTTTTTGACTCATGCTTGTTTTTATAGGCATACAAAATTTGTTTCCAGGTCTTTCATTTACCGTTTATTACATTTTTATTGTTGTAAGTCTAATCCACTGGAACCCAGTAAAATGTCTTATTACTTAAAAACATTCACTTAGGCAGCACAGCATGCTTTAATTAAAAAGGAAAATGTCTTATATGTCTTGGAATTGTATGTTAGTTTGCTAAAGAGCAACTCCAAGTTTAAAGCTTCCTAGATGGCAATTAGTGTAATTAAAACGCATCTAAACCCAAAACAAAAAAATATTATATTTTAGTTTACCAGTCTTTAGATGTGGTGGATGCATTAGTTTAAAATTTTCAGGCTTTCTTCTCTTTATTTCTACCTATTGATCTGGCGAATAACACACTCCTGGTCCCTGGGTGGCTACATTGACTTCTTCACTTTATCTGTGGAGGGGGCCATGTTGCCACTCAGACCGGACTTCAAACAAGTCTGCCTCTGTTGATTCACATAACGTGTATGATGATGATAATGGGATTATTAGTTTACAGAACAAAGATATGATTGTTTTGCTTTCAGTGCTGGTCACATTACGTAACACTGCATTTCTGGGGAGATCAACCGGTATCTTGTACTTGCTGAAAATGTTCTTTACTTGAAAAATTAAAGCTAATGCAGCCACCAGATTTAAGGATTGATAAGCTGCAGTATGTTACATTTTTGTCTTTGTTATTCATTCATTGTTTACAATTATCTCTGTGATACGTGAGAGCCATGTGCTTCTGCTCTCAGCACTCTGTAGTTGTGGGCAATAACCACATATGGAGGTTGCCAACAGTGGGGCTGGCAACTGTTTCCAAAGGATAATTCATTGGGAGCAGGTAGGTGACCGCTTTTGAATTTTAGACCTGAAAAAAATTTGGAGTACTGAGGTAAGCGTAATGTATGTGCTTACTCTGTTTAGATATCTTTAAAATTTGGATTTTTTTTAGTCCCCATTTTGACCATACTTGCAAAGTAATTTTTTTAAAAATAAAATTACTTTTTTAACATCAGTTCTATTCTAGAGTAACGTTTTAACTTTTATATTGGGCAGGACGGATAATGCTATCAAGAACCACTGGAATTCTACTATGCGACGCAAGGTTGAACAGGAAGGTTATCTGCAGGAATCATCGAAAACCAACCAGCCTTCTGTAGCCACAAGCTTTACAAAAAACCCCTTAATGAGCTTCACAACTCACACTGCACCTTCTGCACAACTTGCTCAAAACAGCCAAGTCCCTAGTTTCTACTACCATCTGCCCGAGCCACCAAATGTAAGTAACGTGTGCAGTAACCTACATCCTTGGATAATGTTTACATGATTAGCATTGTACTACAGACATACTACTACATTGCACTACCTTTTGTGTTACAAAGTATATTATTTGAAGAATGTTGTATAATATAGACATTTATTTGCATTCATATCCCAACTTAAAAAATTAGGTTAATTTAAAAATAATACAAAAAAAATATTCTTTAGTAAGGAGATGTGAACATAAGTTGACCCCACCCCATTTCCATTTTAAAAATAAGTCTAGCATCTTCCATGGTTTCTATAGGGCCTATTAAAATGCCCGGTCATATTAATTTGTCTTTCAATGCTTGTTAATAGCACAATACAAGACAATGTGCCTGTGTCTATTATTGTGTGCTGGGGGTAAGGAACATTTATTTTATTTGGATGCCATTTAACCGAATCGCAATAACATGTTACATACTTACCCCACAAATGTGCATTAAAGAAACTCAAAACTACTTTACATGTCTAATTAAAATGTGCTATATTTGCTATTTTCCAAAGCACAACTGCTTGTATGTCCAGAAATGGTAACTTTTAGGTTGCATGAACATAGGAAGAATAATTGTAAGCACGCCAAGAAAATAAGAATTTAAGACCGAAGATGCAAATGTAGGTCAAATTATTGGTTATGGTGGCAGCAGTGCTTCATCATAATCATAAAGGCTTTTTCAAGAGACTGAGGGCAAATCCCTCCTAGTTTGAATATGTGGAGGACTAATGCAAACATTTATGCAAACCTTTTATTTATGATATGGGGGAGTTTTTTTTACTTACTTGGTTGTGGAACCACACCTATTGTATAGTGACAATGATTGTTGTGTACAATCCATCCCAAGGCTTCCACTTGTAGTTTGAAAAAATAGTATAATTCAACTTATGCATGCAAATAATGGAGACTATACAAGCAGTACATAATAAAACATACTAGAGTGCTTTTGAGAACTGTTGTATGAAATGGCATGCTTTATTGTCTCAACTCTTCTTCTTGTTCTCTATTCACAGGCACCTTATCCTGTAGCACTTCATGTAAATATAGTTAACGTCCCTCAACCAGCAACTGCTGTTGTCCAGGTACTTTTTTCTTCAAAATGAGTATTTATGGATGACATTTATTAGCTATGTTGTCTTTTCTCTCTTGTACATTGTAGGATATTGATCTATTAGTTAACTATGTGTGCAGTTGGATATACACTAGTACAATTTAATTTGATATTTTTTGTTGTGAGAACATTCATTTGTTTTTCTAATCATTAGTGGGGTCAAAGCTACATTCGTTTCCAACCACAATGACCAGAAAGTTTGATGCTCAAATATGTGAATGTGCAACAGAGAATGTTGCTTTTATTCAGTAAATTCCATTCTTTTCAAAATCGAATGTTAATAACAAATGAAACTACTTTTGAATGACATTCGAATGTTCTGAGAATTTTCATATGTATTTTCCTAAGAATTTCCGTTCAAAATTCTACTAGTGTATACCCAGCTTAACAACTCATGTGAACACCATATTTGCACATTATGCTTTAGTTGATGCATACGACCTTGCTTTTATACTAGTCTTAGAGCTTCCACGCAGGAGCTAATTTGTGGTCACTGTGAAAACACTCATATAGCAAAAGGAAAAGCCAGGGAAAGGGGAAGTAATGACTAAGCAAGAATAGTGGAGTATTTTCTAGCGTGTGCTATTGTTATCACAGCCTTTAGGTTTGGACATAGATTCGTTTATGATGGAACTTGCTGAAAACAAAGCATACAAAATCCATCTTTTCAGTAATAAAATTAAAGTATTTTGCCTGTATTCACTTAGTCTGGCAACCAAGTAACACACTGAGAGTGGTAGCAGGGAGGTGACTTCTATCCTTGAATATGTTGTTGCAGTGCCGGTACTAGTTATCACTTCACAGTGACAGCAGAGCACATTTATTTATTTATTTCATGTCTTGAAAAGGTGGGGGGAGGCTTTTTACTTTACATAATAGAAGATTTTCCTACTATACAGAGAACATTGTACAGTAAAAAATGCAACTAATTGCTTGAAGTGCTCAATAGCACCCTCTAGTTGTCTAGAAACAGCCTGATGTATTGCAGACAAAGCACAATTTTTCCTTTAATATCTTTCTGATATCTAAAACCTACCAGTTAATGTTTTTTTTTGATTTGTAATTTTTGTTTTTTAATTTTTTTTTTTTTAGAGACCCTATAATGATGAAGATCCAGAAAAAGAAAAGAGGATAAAAGAATTAGAGTTACTACTTATGTCAACAGAAAATGAACTGAAGGGACATCATGCAATACCAGTAAGATCAGTCTCACTCATCCTGGGTTCTGCAAACTATCCTAAATCCAAATAAATGAAGTGTTTATTGTGGCAATCACATGGCGTTGTAAATTTTTCCTACCTTTAACAAAGAATAGATAGTCTTTTGTGGTTATACGCACCAATAGACACATTAAAATAGTACATTTTAAGGACTAATACATATACAGTATAGTGTGGTTTTAGTCTTATCTTTTTTGACAGCATATAGTTACATATATACATTTTTATTGGTTGTTAATGCTTTTCCCTTCATAGTATAAATGTTAAATACCCTGTATTAAAGCAGATGTAGCCTTTGAAAACAGCATCAATAACACGTTTTAGGTTAATGCTGAACACTTCAGCTGATAAAGGGGTCTTATCTTTTAAACGGTTTTTTATATATGTACAGTGACTTCGCTGCATGTGTAGGTCTGTAGTATGAAATAGTCATTGCATGATGACACAACACATAGCAGTGTATTTCAGGCTGGCTACTACATTGATGAAAGGAAACATCTTGACAACTGTTTCAGAAGTGCAAGTACTTTAGATGATGCAACAGCTTTTATCTGGCCCCTAGCTGTGTGTGGGACACCTTGAGCAATTTCATTCTAAGTTCCTCCTTTTTTTCATCTCTTTTTGTAAAACACAGAACCATGCAGAAGAATATCCCGTGTGGCAGAGCACAACAATTGCTGACAACTCTAGGCCCCATGGTGACAGTGCTCCTGCCTCTTGCCTTGGGGAACCCCATAACTGTACACCTTCTCCTCCGTTGGACCATGGGTGCCTTCCAGAAGAAAGTGCTTCACCAGCTCGGTGCTTTGGTGTAAATCTGTTAATACAGATGAAGAATATGCCTGAATACAGTGATACTTTGCAGTATATTGATTCTGTAAGTAATCTAGACAAGTCCAAATTAAAAAAGTGAAAGTTGCAGACACATCTTTACAAGTGTGAATATTCATGTTCATGGGTAGAGCACATCCTCTACTAGTTTATTTTTTGTGTGCTGCTAAATTTAAATTCCTAATGGGTTCCACAACATTCTATTTAGTAAAGTCTGGTGTTCATTTACACCTCAGTTCAGAAGGCAGTGCACTGATTTGCATTCAGAATAGTTTGCTGTACTTTAAAGTGTACCTGTACTAAATAAAAGAAAAATTAGTAGGCTGTATGGCAGATAGAAGATTAAAGTGACACTAAAGCCTGTTTTTTCTTTTTCTAAAATAACAAACATGTCTATACTTATCTGCTGTGTGCAGTGATTTTGCACACAGCAGCCCTGATCCTCTTCTTATTGGGTTCCCTCCAGCGTTCCTGGCTCCTCCTCGAGCAGTGCCCCAAGGGAAGGCTGCTCGCCCTGGGGGCACCTCTGCGTGTTCATCCCCGAGCTGCTGCTCTATTCATCCATAAGACAGAGCCACGGCTCACCCCCCCCCCCCCCCCCCCCCCCCCCCCCCCGCTCTCTCCTCGTTCGCTCACTGGCTGTGATTGACAACAGCGGAAGTCAATGGGCTCCCATTGTTGTCTCAGTCAATGAGGAAGAAGAATCCCCAGACAGCAGAGGCTGTCAAGAGTACTGTTGGATTGGAGGGGGCTCAGGTAAGTTTTGGGGGGGGGGGGGGCCCACTGCACACAGGTTTTTTACCTTCATGCATAGAATGCATGAAGGTAAAAAACCTTGAGCCTTTAGAACCACTTTAAAGTAGACACTGCTTCCTTTTTTTACTACAATAACCTTTTACAGTGCCACTGTGGCTTGCACAATTTCCTATGCAAATCCTAATTTTCTAACACACTGGTATGTTTACAAGCACATGGCAATAGGTTACTTAGGCACCTTGCTCTATCTGGCGGGTGTCCTGCCTACTCTCCCCATACCCCAAAAGTCAGTATTATTTTGTAGGGCTGTGGTGGAGCTGTAAAGAGAATTATTGTAATGCAGAAACTTAGTCTTGGAACCCTATGTTGCCAAATATGAAATCCTTTTATGCCAGTACAGGTTTACATAGTATACTCATCTTACTGTATATCTATCCAGCGGAATGGAGTTTCCTGTTTTGTTTTTATTTCCATTTCTTTTTCAAGCTTAAAGCTATATGTTGTTTGTCTATTAATACTTTTCTTTTATGGTCGTAGTGTGATGAATTCCATCCAATACTAAGTGTAATAATTTTTATAAAGGAAACATTAGTTATTATCTAAAAAATAGTAAATAGTTATAGACCCCTAAAATATGACTGCGGTTAAGTGTTGCTTAGATTAATAACCAAAACTTGAAAGCTTTGAAACATAGGATCAGCCATTGCTGGCTTGTAGTTAAACGTGGTAGCTTGGGGAACAGTCATCTTGATCCTGTCTTAACCACATACTGGGTTGCTGACCTGGTTTAGGCATGCAGCTAGTGAAGTCTAAAATTCCCTTTTGTGCATGCTTGTTCCAGGTCAGCAACTTGCTAAATAGCAAAGCTCGGATCAGGGCAACAGCTCCATGGCCTACACCTTTCAAAAACAAGTCAGTAATGGTAGTGTGTAAATTTCAATCTTCACATGTTCATTTTAAGCAATGTAGCGCTGTACGGGAACCAAATACTGATATGGATCAATTCACTTAATCTTCCCATTGGTGCGTGTCATTTTATTTATTTCTACCCTCAAATTGTGCTCATGTTTTTCCAGCCAGTACCATATTTTTGATGAGTAGGTCAAATTTTAACATTGTTATGCAATTAGATGGGCTGGAAAAGATACATAGTTGTCCTCTGAAATACACATACAGCTGGCTGAGAAAATGTATGATGTATTATATAGCCCTTTTGCAGCAATGTATACACATACTTAAATAAAAGAGCAAGCACAATAATTGCATCATTTCTTGATTTCTCTATAAATGTGTAAGTAGTAACCTTTTTTTTGTGGAAGCATTTAAGGTGGCACCTTACGTTATGTTAAAGTTGCGTGCCTCCTACATTGTTTCAGGATTCTTCATCATGGAGTGAAGTCAACAGTTTTGAAACCAGTGAGAAAACAGATTCCTCAAACAGCAGTTCTCCCTCAGGCCAAGACTCCGAGCCTCCGGAGGAAATGGGCAGCCTGTGCAGCCCTGGGGCTGTACCTGATACAGACATAGGCAAAAGCATGCTCTGTATGGGTTCTCCCACCTCGCCCGGTTCCCTAGATTGCTCAAAGTGCAGCCAGTCGCCGCTGATCGTCCTGTGCAAAAAGAAAGGGCGTCTCAGTTGCCTAACCAGTGGAGAGAACGGTCTCTCCCCTTTCAAAAGCCTGCCTTTCTCTCCCTCTCAGGTAGATGACTTCTACAAAATTCTCACTAATTCTCATCAAAGAATTAACAGTATAGAAACTAAATGTTTGGAAACAATGACTAATTCCTCTCTCACACCCATAAATTTCACTTTGTGATTAATTCACTCTTACACATGGAGCTCTGAAATGTGTTTACCAGTGTCACTAACTGGTGTTTTTATTTGGCACTCTGGAGGAGGCTTGCTGGTGCTTTCTGTCTGTTTGCTCTTGCACTTTGGTAATGGATTTCAATACCACTTTTCTGGATAACCTGTTTCTTTCCACAATCCTTTACTTAACGTGCTTATTAGTATTATGGCAAGGTGTTCACAGACTTGCATATTTTTTGTACAATTTCTTTGAACAATATAGTAATTTATTCACTGTGATTTCTCTTTGCAGTTCTTGAACCCGGTGTCAGCACATGAGGGGATGCACATCGAGCAACCAACTCTAAGCTCCACCCCATTGTGTTCTTCTTACAAGACCGCCATCACCACATCTATTCACCGGGACCACGCACCGCGACTACAGAAAGAAAATCACATGTAGGTCCCCCCCCCACCTAAAATGCACTATATGGGCAGAAGTATATGGGTATCCCTCAAAATTATGGCATTCAGCTGTTTCTAGTGAAAGGTTTTGCCAGTCACATGATCAAAGGCCAAGTTTAGGTGGTAGTAAAATCCTTTTTTGAACTTGTACCGGTACTTGTACAGGTAAGCCTATAATAAGGCTACAGTGCATCCAGTGTAGTCACCGGCACACATGCTCTGAAGGGACTGCAAACCATGCTGTTCCCTCAGAGCTCTGTGCTGTAAACCATGACTCCCATGCACTGGAGTGACATCAATGCAGCCTAGCCATTCAAAGGACCGGAGCCAGCAAACCCAGAAGAAAGACCAGGGGAAGATGGAAGCCCTGTCTCCAGTGACAGCACACCGCTGGAGGAGTTCTTTCTAAGGAAAGTATTTTATAATATATGCAATGCATACTAGCACCTTATGCCATTGCCTTGCAGGGGATTTTTTTTTCTTAAATGCCACAGTTCACTACCGCTTTAACATTTGAGTATAGGTCTACTTTAATAGTATGTTTTATGTAGTAACGCTATTCTCTTACCTGGCATTTTGCTAAAGCAATTTAGTTTTTTTTTTTTTGTGTGTATGTTCATTATCAATCACTTAATTTCGCTACACTAACTGATTATCAATAGCACTGCTTAGAATAGTCACTTTGCTACAGAATTGGAGGTAGCATATGTGGTTAGCATTTAACAAAGCTATCTGAACAGGTCTGTTGGTATTTTTTTATCTGCACAGATGTAGATTTATATTTGTTTCCAAACTGTAAAAAATAGCATATTTATATTTTTCTCCTGACATTTACAGCCTTAGGACACCAGCAATAAAACGTTCAATTTTGGATAGCTCTCCAAGAACACCTACTCCCTTCAAAAATGCGCTAGCTGCTCAGGAGTTCAAATATGGGCCACTGAAACTTTCGGTAAGCCAATCTAAAGGTTGGCATGTTCAGGTACAGCAAGTAGGTGGGATGTGCTTTAATGCTTACCATAGTTTCTCTTACATTCTTTCAGCATCACACCCCCTCACACCTTGCAGAGGACCTTCAGGAAGTCATCAAACAGGAGTCTGATGAGTCTGGCATTGTACCTGAGTTTCATGACACAGAGGAACCTCTTCTAAAGAAAATAAAACAAGAGGTAAACTAGTAGATCTCCATACTTCAGAATAAATATGAATCCTAGAAGACTGTAAAACCATAAAGTGTACTTTGTAATGCTTTCTAATTTGTTTGGTTCATGCAGTTAACCTGGAATAATGTGTAACAGTCCGAGTCATTTATCATTGTGATATAAGTTGAAACTTAATCACATTTTTGCAGTACAAGAGTGAACTGGATAATATGCTCCTTGACTGCGTGCAGCATAGATTCAGATATTTTAATAACTCGGCCTGGTATTGAAATATATCCAAATTATATTTCAAGGCATCTTCTATTTTGATAGCAAAATTTCATTTTCACCACAGTTAATAAGTGTATGTAGAATGTTATCTTTAGTCTTGAAAGAGATTGCGCAATTATCCAGCATTATTTTAAATGGAAATTGTCACAAAACAATACTTGTGTTAGAAGCCTCACATAGAAGCTGTCACAAGCTAGCTCTGAGCATTGAAGATGAACTTTTTTCAGTTTCATTGCATGAGACATCACTGCCACTGAAGAGCTAAAGTTTGGCAGCTTCATTGTGAGGCTTCCCGTGCAACAGTTTTTCTTCATGACCAGTCTCATTTAGCTTTTATTTAGGGCAGCTTCATTGTGAGGCTTCCCGTGCAACAGTTTTTCTTCATGACCAGTCTCATTTAGCTTTTATTTAGATTTCCTGAAAATCCATTTTGATTAAAATATTTACTATGAAAACTGGGCAAAACAGTTAAGTCTCTTGTTACTAGTTATAGTGAACTTGTTTTGAGAGAAAACTTGTAGTCTTCCATAACTGGTTACTTCAGAAAATACTACTTTCCTTACTGTTTTGCTGATCTATGGCAGCCCACATATTTCTCTAATGACAGGCATTCTTGGAAGTGTTAGCAACTATGCCAACATCTGCTTTTTGGCATTTATTTCAACAATGTTATTCTGACATAAGTGGTATATTTTGTTGTCTTCAGGTAGAGTCTCCAACTCATAAGATGGGAAGCGTCTACTGGGAACATGATAACCTTATGGCACAGCTATTCACACAGCACAATATTCTGGAAGATACTCCAGTAAGTCAGCACTTTAATGGGATTGTCTCACCTCATAGTTACCGAAGACAAACCACAGCTTCACACTGTGTAAAGATAATCAGAAAGGACCCTGAAAATTAACTGAAAATGTATTTGCATTGTTCAAAAAAGTGTCCATTGTCAAAAGATGATAACAAAAAGTTACATGCACCTTCCCCTACCAGACTAGTTGATGTACTTTACTGGAGTGGGTATGGGTCGTCATTTTTTTTTTTTTGCTTTCCTCAAAGTGTATCCAAAGCAGATTTTTTTTTAGTTAGAGTATATAGGAGACTTGGAACACCTTTCAGGATTTTATTGCTCCTGTATCCCCACTGGGGAGAGACACTGGGGCTTATTTATTAAAGCTGGTTCACTCAGAATCTCGTACACCTGTACATGGTAGCCAATCAGCTTCTAACATCAGCTTGTTCAATTTAGCTTTAGCAATAAAACCTGGAAGCTGATTGGTTTCTATGCAGGAGTGCACAAGCTTTAGTAGATAAACCCCACTGTCTCTGTTTGTCTTGGTGGCTACTGCCACTGGGTCTAGTGAGGGGAATTCCAAAATGTTTTGTTATCACTGGAAAACTAACAGAGAAAATCTTCCCGTGGGGACATAGCAAAAAAAAAAAAAAAAAAAAAAAGTTTTAACCCTTTATACACTTTCAATATATTGTATGTATATATACAATATATATATGTCAGGCATGTCATTAAGTCCACCCAATATAGAGTATATTTCAGTTTTGGTAGCTACTGGTGAATTGAATACCCGCCTGGCTTTTTATTTTTGTGGTCTCCTATAGTAAGTTCTCCCTTGATGTGGTCATTGCAGAGTTCAGTATTCAGTTTGCCTTACAAACATAAAACATATCAGGGAAAGTAAGATGCACTTTGTAAAACCTGTAGCAAATGGCCAAAGCTGCAGACACAAAAAACCTACATTCTTTTTTTTTTTTTTTTTTTTAGTGGACAAGTGCTTCAAAGAAATTCACTGTAGCTTATACAGTATAATGTCAACCAAACAATCTCTTTTGCATTTTTTTACAGAATCTTCTTACCAGCTCTTTGCTGATGAAACCAATGTCTGATAAGGAGGATCACAGACTGAGGTCTTTTACTGCTCAAAGGAATAGATTATTTTCAAGCCCTTTACAGGTAGTTTGTTATTAATATTCCTGAATGCTCTTGAATGCTGACCCATTAATCATTTTTTTTTATCTGTCGTGATTTTACAGTATATTGATCTGCTTCTTATTCATTGTACTCATGGAATACTGCAGTCTGTGTCACATAGCTTACATATGATAACTGGTGATGCCATAATCTTTGAAAAAGTGAGATTGCATTTATGAAAGGATATCGGTGCTACCTACTTATTCAGCTCATTAAACAATCTGTTAAACAGGCTATAGACAAGTTGAAAACTGAAGAACAATTCTTGGTTGTTAGTTTTTAGCATCATTAGTGTGCCAGCTGCGACACACGATTTTCGTGTTGCAATTGAAAGTGCCTGATTCAGCATGCTGGATTTTGTTTAGAAAAACAAAACAAATGATGGCACAATTGTATGCGTCATTTTTCAATTGACAGAACATTTGGTTTTCAACTTGTCTATGGCCTTCCTTAGACTATGCAATCACTGAGGCACTAAACAGCCTGAAAAATATTAGCACATGGGTACCACTGTAAATCCTGCATAGACCAAGAATTTGGGGCCAGTTTCTTTTGTCTACTTACATCTGGAGCTGTTTCAGTGAAATTACTATGTGCTGTTACGTTACTAAAGGTACCAGTAGAGATTACATTTACTGTACATAGCCTCTTCATGGGGATGGTCATTTTTGTCAGATTTTCAGCTGGCCAGTTATAGCACTTTTCAAATAGTATTTATGGCTCAGGTATGTTCACTTCCAAGCTCCTTGAGCGCTTGGCCTACAATCGCCTAAGCTCCCACCTCACTGATAACAACCTCCTTGTCCCATTACAATCTGACTTCCGTCCCCTACACTCCACCAAAACCGCCTTACTTAAAATCACTAACGACCTGCTAACCGCCAAAGCTAATGGCCATTACTCAGTCCTCCTGCTCCTCGACCTTTCCGCGGCCTTCGACACAGTCGACCACCCCCTCCTCCTTACAAAACTGCACTCCCTTGGCATCAGGGACGCTGCTCTCCTGGTTCTCCTCCTACCTATCCCAACGCTCCTTCAGCGTCACCTATAACACTGCCACCTCCCCCTCTCTCCCCCTCTCTGTTGGAGTTCCCCAAGGCTCTGTCCTCGGACCCCTCCTCTTCTCCATCTACACCTCCTCCCTTGGCAAACTGATACACTCCCATGGCTTCAACAATCACCTCTATGCCGACGACACACAAATTTACCTCTCCACCCCCCACCTCACCCCCTCACTCTCCGCCCGCATCGCCCACCTCCTGAACGACATATCAGACTGGATATATAATTTTCAAATAATACCACAGTATCCTGTAAGCCACATGCAATCAGCTTTGCCTTTTACTTTCTCTTTAAACTATGATTTTATTTGTGCAGCTGTTTCTGTAAAATTATTAGGACACATCCGTGAAATAGAAGTGTTTTCTTTTTACGAACCTTACAATAGCTATCCCAGATCTATGTTTTATTCACCTTGGGAAATAGAAAGCAAAAAGTGCTTAGAACAGTTTACATGACTTGTAACACACATTTGATTAGAAACAAAATGTCCAGGTTTCACAAAGATGAACAGTTTTTTTTTCTTTTTTTATTTTTAAGTCACTGTGTTTACTTAATACAACATAAGAGGATATTGACGTTTATTTATTTTTTGGACAATGGATCGCTAGGTAAATGCTTTGTGAATAAGATGCAGGCAAGTTCTCAGAAGTTTTATCTAGGTGTTTAGGTGACATATGCAAACACTGATATGATTGTGAAAGATTCCTGTAGGTATACGCAGGCTCGGCATTACAATTTAGATTAGTAATTCATTTCACACAGATATACTGTATGTCAGACTCTCTTATTTGAACAAAGACCTTTCCCAGAAAGTTGTAGAAGTTATTATTCACTGCAGTAGCTGCACTATTACCATCTATTAGGGTCTACTATAATGTGTTAGAATGTAAAACAATAAAATTAATGTGAGCTTTGAGATAGTGACACCTTCATTATTGCTTTGGTGTGGAGGTGGCTAAACCACATATTGATGAAAGAAAATCTTGCCACTTGAGTTTCAAAGACATGTAAAAAGCAGGCATGGTATTTATCCCACTGATACCCACCCAAATCTTAAATGCCTTCTTTGAGTTATATTGGCCTTTACACGGGCATCTTCACTTGCCCTTAAAAAGTAAATATAAAATTTAAAAAAACACCTATTTTAGGGGCTGTGTCAACTGGCTTTTTCTTGCTTCAGAATGATTCTCTGTGTACAATGGGAATGCAAAAGAAAGCAGTTAACTGCAGGTCAAATGCATGTCAATGAACAGTGGAAGATTTCAGAGGCATCTTAAACTGATCTGAGATGCAAACATAATGCGCCTGGATGTACTCTGCATATGCCCATCAACACAAGTTCTAAGCCCGTAGACACAGGCCTTTCCCAAACTGTAAAATTAAACATAATTTATGACCTAAAACAAGTATGAGGATAAGGACTTCCAAATCTACAAACATTTTCTGGATAGCTGGCCTAAAGTATGGAAGCCAGAAGCGTAGCATAACAACTAAGCAACTAATGTTTTCAAGTCAGAAATGGCATCATACATATGAATATGAATACATATATCATGAAAAGTTTGCTTTAAATGTGGGTGGCAGTATGTATATGAAAATGAGGTAGTAGTAGTATTCAGTTGGATATGCAAATACCAATATTTATTGATTTTACATACCTGGGTACATTAATTAGAAAAAGTAAACATTTATTTTTCTGAAGGATAAGACATATTTATTACATGTTGTGACTAAGAACTGTCTTGGACATACTGATAAAAAAAAAAAGATCCATTTTGAGCATGAGAAAAAAATGAACGTATATTTCTATTGTATTAATATTAATCTCTGTTCCCCACAGCAACTTGGCAACACATTGGAAGCAATGTCTTGTGGGAAGATAGACGAACACAAGCTGTATACAGAAATGTATCATAAATGTATGAAGACAGTGTCCACGCTTGTCATGTGATGGGCTGGTTGATCTGAACAAGCATTACCATTTTGGAAACACACTTAAAGATAATCTGGGAGTTTGTTAAACAATTCCGCTACATTCAACATTGGGAGTTTTTTAATTGGGACACTTTGTTGTGGTACAACAGTTGGGAGAAGCACAAAGTGCATTTTTTTCTAATCTCTGAGCTTTTTGTTGGATTTTCATCCTACCAATAAAGTTATTTTGGAGGGTGTACATTTCCATACACAAAAATGACAATTCTGCCTAAGTATTTGGGCGTTGCATTGTAATTTATTACACTTGCAAAATCTGAACAGTTTTTAAAGAACAAGTAAATTTAATACCAGTATTGTTGTTTTATATATATTTGTTTTCACAGTAAGAGCAGGAGCTCTGCCATTTACTGTCTTATTGCAGTTGACAAAATGCCTTGATACACAAAACAGTAGCAAGCATTACTACAAAATTCACAAATGTTCACAAGCACAAACTATATGTGATTTCAATTCTGTGAATGCTGAAAACTGTATTTTATTTTTCAGATATATGTAAGAAAATATATATTTGTATGAGTGCTGATTTTTTTTTTTTTTACAAAATTAGCTTGCTTTAAAAGGCTACTGACTGGAAATAATTTTTTTTATTAAAAAGCAAATTCTATTTTTATTCACTAATTTAATTTTTTTTACAAAAGTCATGCAAAAAAATAAATGTTTTTTTTTTTTCTTTTTTTACCCCTTATCCCTGCTGCTAAGATTGTAGCATGTAGACATGCTGGCATTGTGAAAGCATCATTGGAATAAGGACAAAAAGATCACTATGTTGATACACGCTTATTTATGCACTAGCATTTGATAAAGTTTTGTATTTTCGCAAGAACTTTTTTGTACATTTTCTGGGAGAACCTTTTTTTTAAAATTGCACCTTCGGTTTGGGAGAAGACTGCATTCATGTGTTCATATTTTATATATATATTTTGTTTGTTTGTTCATCCTGAGATTTTCATTCTCAGTCTTATTCAATTCTCTTCTGTACAGTTACTGCCTTCTGTCTGAAGTTACAAAATTGGACACTGTATTGTTGGGAGTTTTTATTTGTGTACTTCAAATTTGCTGCCTTAAAGCATTTAGTGCAGCATTTCTGCACTTATTTTTTACTGCCTTTGTTAAAAAAATAAATAAAAGAGTGTTTTCTAATGTTGTGCTGTTTCTATTCTACATTTTGCAAAAATGTCTGTATATTTTATCAACCCTAATGTGTATATATAGTAAAGCAATATGTGTGATTTTACCAAAATAAATTGCATGTGTACAGTGGGACCATGCAGAATGATTCATAGGCACATTGATCTAACTGTATAAACAAAATTAAAGGCCAGAAGTGAAGGTCCAGACAGCTGTCGCTTGTGACCCCTACTTGTAGTTTTAGCTATTCAATCTTAATTAGTAGTCTCACAAAGCCGATTCTGAAGACTTTCGTTGTAAAGAATGTCAGTCAAAAAGGGCTCAGAATCCTACAATCACTTAGCAAACACACTAGACTGTAATTCATGGATTATACTGTAGCTGCCAGTAATAGATAGATACAATGTTGAAATGCACTGGAAGAACTGATGATTTTAGGTTGAAAGATATTCCAAGAAATATTTGGACACCACTGTTGTATGCCCCACTGCAGATTATGTTAGTATTGCTAGTATAAGCTTTTTTTTTTTTTTTCTAGTAAGGAGTGAAGTGCTGTGACCCAAAGTAACCCGTTTGAAAGAAAACCTGTGGACAACTGCCATGGTCTTTCAACGTCCGCACATGTTTTCAAGAACAGACCTACACTTGCAGTAACATACCATGCTTGCTAGCGGGGCACATGCAACAGCAGTCACAAATGAGCCATTTAAATAGTATCAGTGTATAATATTGATAACGGATAGCTTAATAAAATTTTTATTCAAAAAGATGGATCATATTTCAACTTTTTATTTCAAACAAACTGTAAGGAA